ACTCCCCGGGCCCTACCAGCGCCCGTAATGGGAAACCAGCGACTGCTCAGGCCCGTCAGTTATTGCCTGTGGCAATAAGGACAGCCTGGGAATTCATAATGTTGGTGACTTCATCTGCCAGCTGCATTCACACATCTTTACTACCTGAATAACTGATCTCCGCTACTCCAAGGCAGCACTTTCTGGTGTACAGCGTTTGGGAATAAATATTTGATCACGCATACAACAGAAAAGAGCTCAGATGGTTTAAGGTGTGGCAGCAGAAGTGTTTATTAAATTCCAAGTGAGAGCATTGCTGGACAGTAAAAATTTGTCCCATGGTCCCTATCACACAGGTGTGGTGATGAACAATAAAAGATCCTTCACAGGCAGAGGAGAGGCAAACTCCATCCCCCACAAAACCCAAGTCAATTCTTCTGTTCATTAAACCCTCTGCAGGCAACAAGCGATCCGTCCATGACCAGCCAGTCACACACAAAAGAAAAGGGAAGTACTAAATTACAAGCCAATTTTAAGTGGCCATTGATTGAAGTAACCAGAAGAGAGCTTAGTATTGTCAGAGTTTCATACAACAGTAATAAACAAGCTTCATTAAAAAATGATGCGTGCATCCCTAGGAAGCACAGCACATGCCAGGTTTTAGAAAAAAAAACATAAACGTTCTCCCCACCCCACACACAATCAAAGAGGAAAAAAAGCTCAGGACCTTTTTCTTCTGCAATTGAATTTTATTCATTAAAATCCTTCCCACTCTAACTTCTGTATTTGTCCTAAGCAAGAAAGAAATGGAGTTCTCCTCCAAGTAGGAAAGGAAAAGGCTGATGCAAAGCAGAGATCAGACAACTTCTTTGTCACCACTTGGCTACGCTGCTGACAATGCAACAAAATCATTACTTGACCAACGGATAAGTGTCAAAAACCTCTTTGTATGAGGGAATAACCAAGGCTTTTCATAAACACACACACAGATGCACACACTTTTTCTTAACTGAGCAGGATTGAATTAACAGCTACGACCGAGCGTACCTGAGTACCTGAGCCCTTCACCACATTTGTTACAGTTTAAGGGAAACACTTGCCCTTACAGACTCAGTGCAGCTGTGCGATCAAATTTATTGTGATCCGGAACTGCTGCAAAATCCCTTCTCTAAAGGTTTTCTGTTTCTGAAAGTTCAGAGCTGTTGTTCCATACAGATATCCTAAACCTTCCTACACCCTTTAATCTCTGCAGTATGTATTAGTAGTAGAGTTCTATCAGGTTTGACCTTCAGGTATGTAACATATATGACATGAATCATTCATCCACAGGTTACAGTATAAAAATTCAGAATGGTGCCTGGAAATATTCAATTACATGTCTAGCCCATGCTTATATTTTCTAGATTAGTCTCCATCATTCTGTAGATATCCTCAGCTAGCAAAAATCCTATCTAAAGCTAGTCACATCAAAGAAAGGAACAGTACTCAATGTATACAGGCAATGTAAAGTTTTCAAGTCACGCCTGTAGAGTGGTCTTCTGAAATAGAGACAGCTCATTCTGCAAGAACTTTTTTTTTTTGTCGCACTAGAGATTTCTGTCTCAGGGTTGGTTGGTTTGGTTGTGTAAGAGCGTGACCTTCAGCTGCAGCATCTCCTGCAGCCAGGGCACTTGTAAGGTTTCTCTTCCATCCCTGGTGCCTAATAAAGTCTTAAATGTAACCTGACTTCCTAAGACTTACCCCACCTTCGTTAAACCCAATGCAACCAGCCAATAGCCTCAGCCCTTCTTAGGAAAGGATGGACACACAGACACACGAGCACACACGCCTGCTTGCTACGCACGCTGTGCATTTACTATGTGTACAGTCGTGGTTCTTTTGCTGCATTATCTTTAAAGGCTTCCTGCTTTATACAGCTTTAAACTCAGTGTTGTCCCTTTAACATTTCTAACTGCCAATCTGGAATAGCATCTGGAATTACAGTGCATTTAATCCTTGAGGGTATATTCTCTCTATGATGCATATGACTAAAATGTGTGCACTGAGGTACAAATGTCCAGTAGCTTTAGGTGACTACATTTTTGCGAACTTTTCTTAAAGACTCAATTTAAAAAAAAACCAAACCAAACCCAAACCAACAGAGAGTATCTTAGCAGAATTTTAAGTTGAGATAAACATATTGAAATACACATTTTTTTTAATTTATCCAAGTAATCTTTACAGATACAGCCATCCACCTTGAAAATACCATTGCAAATTTTCATGATTGATGTACATGTATCTAGTAGTTTTGTACTTTTTAAATGAAGTTTTTTTGCAAATTATTTTGGGAGAGAATATTGTCATTAGTATACCACAGTTTTACGGAGACGTGAAAATCATGATTTAAAAGAATAACACAAGTTTCAGAGTTGTCACCGTGCGTGGAGAAGGAAGGAAGCTATCGAGAACGGCGGAAGAATAATGGAGATGATAAACATGTACTTGAAATCTTTTGATAGGAAGAAAAAGTGATGGAGTTAGATAAGAAGAGGCGCCACGCTGGTTGCATCTCTAAGCAACAGGCAATCAAACAGTCAGATAAGCATCTTCATAAAGTGCAACAGACTCAAATGCATGGGTCATAACTGAAGAATCACTTCCTGGTTCAGCTTAGGTAGTGAAAATTTATGATCTGCTTAAAAAAAATCCTTTAAACCTAAAAACATACTTTCCATTTTGTTTTCCATAAAGAATGTAAGCCATTTAGGGCATGCCTCGGTAATAGCAGGAAATGAGAATACTTACAGTAGTGGACTGTAACACAAAAAATGCAATGTCGTACATGAACAGCATTTAAAATAAAACCTTTAGATTCAGAGCCGAGCTTTATGTCATTTTCTGCACATCTCAAAGGTGGGAAGAAAAGAAAGTAACCATAAATACTCATCTTCCCTTCGCTGGGCTCTGCTACACGAATAGCATGAGATCTCAAAAAACAGTGCCTGTTTTTTCTTGTGCCTCCTTCACTCTGTAGCAGAATTCACATCCCTACACCATCACACATAATCTGGCATATCTACGTTACATTTGGTCCAATAATTTCTGCATGGGAAAGGACGAGGAACAGGCAATACGAAAACTGCAAATAGATGGTAAAGTCCCCGAATCAAAAATCAATTCAAATCCAAAGTGCCTGGCAGCAAAGTTAAATAAAATACTGCTATCAGCATGTCCCTAAGAAAATCTAATGTATTGTTTATAAGAAACTTATGAGGTGTTATAACAAAACCGAGTCACTGCTGTACAGTAAATATATTTTCAGTGTCATAACAATGTATACAATTGACTTTGGCAATTTTAATATGGACGCACATGTTAAAGGCATTACCAATAGAGCTTCATCGCATTCACATGAGCCATTTCATATTAAGGCCCCATCCACACTTCAGGAAAGGTTGTTTAGCACAGAAGAGGCATGGTCCTACGTGGTTCATTATTTCTATTGTAGGTGGAATAACGCAGTTTTAGAACGTGTTATGGTTACAGAATGGTTGTGTTTCAGAATCAATACACATCCCTGCTATAGGTAATGGCACTGCTCTGTTCATACACAAGAGGGGAAAAACCCCAAACCCTGATAACCCAGATATCTCTATCTGTATCAGCTGGCATAGTCACGTCGATAGTCAAGAACAGCCACGCCATTAATCACTCCCAATCTGAAGTGTCAGATACACAGAGAGAAGCACTCCTGTGATTCAAGCCCGTAAGCTTTTAGGGGTAATAGACATAGATGAACTAGTCCAAAAAATCATAACTGATGCATTCACGTTTTCTTCTGTATCAAACGATTATTTTCAAAATTACTTTGCCGTGTACTAAAACAAATAAAACTCCCTTTAAACAGCCAGCATCAGATGTTTGTCTAAGCTCAATGTGAATTAATTTAGCAAGTTTAAAAAAATATTTGAAAATGGAATTTATAATGACAATCCTCGATAACCGAAGTAAATTTAGTTCTTAATGAACTTAGTTATAAACACATGTAAGAAATACCCTGTAATACCTAAATAAATTAATTTGGCAAACAATACAATATCTTGGACTCAGAATTTACATCAATAGCAAACAGAGTCCGGAACAGGAGCTTTTATTTTAACTCTTTTTAAAACAACCTTCAGAAACCAGTTTCTGTATGTGTTACAGTCTCTTTTTACAGTTTAACCTCAATCCAATCAGCAGTCTCCAGGGATTTTCAAATCGCTAAAGATTAAAATCCTCTCCGACTTGACTGTTTGACTAATGCTGTGTGTTTAATAATTCTACTTGTGAGAGATTTTATTTGACAAAATCCTGCTGTGTGGACCCTTCAGACGCTATACAGCTGTACTAGAACATAAAGCTCTGCTGTCCTTGTTTCTTTATACAGACTATACCCCACCACCGAGAAAAAAAGAAGAAAACTTTATAGTACATATATTACTATGTTGATATTAACATAACCACTGTAGCATTAAATTTACACGCTCTTTTAGAGCAGAGTAGTGAAAATGTGCCTATTACACAAACATTAGATAAACTATCCTGTTGTCTTGACTGTTCACAGAAATCAATTACATTTATGATTACATTTCAATGAAAGCTATTTTATAAATGAGATGGAACTGGAATATCCTATGCTTTAGGCATTCATTAATAAAAGCATTTCAGTGTTAGTATTTGCAAATGTTCTGCTTTTTCGTTTAGGCAGGTTTTGGCATTCTATAGCTCATGTTAAACTTAATGTAAATATTGTGTTCGTATCTTACCACGATGCTGTGACTTCAGATTTGAGCAGTAAGAGGGAAAAAAAGTCATCATTACAGTAGCTTTCAGTTAAGTATTTGTGTAAGACAGCAGTTACCCTATCGTGCAGCTGAAAATCATGATATCCTTTTAAGTATATGGCAATGGTTAGTAAACATGTTACCTGACAAAAAAAGGCAAGACTGATGAATGCCACGAATATCAAAGAAAACATGAAATCAACATGTTTCTACCTGAGGTAGCATCAATCACTGTTGAAACGCCTCTGCGATCAGAAACTGGACGCGATGACCCCGGCATGCTAACAGGTTCCGAACGAACTGGCTGAATCCTAAATAATAAGTTATAGTTACCACCTGTGTCAAAATCATTGCTCATGAGGGCTGTAATTAAATCACAAACCTGAATCAGCTGAATCAATTAAGCAACTGTTTTTTTTTAAATCAGCCAACTGTTGAAAATTTTTGTTTTCCTTTGCTTTGTGGAGCCAAGATCTGGATAATCCATCCAGAGACAGATTGAGACTCTACAGAAAGTGAGTATCCCCAAAACTATGTCTCGGACGTGAGCTCTCAGAAAGCCTCAAAGGAAAAAGCTCACCCTACCCAAACTGGTTAAAAAGCCTCTATCGCCCTCCCGAACAGCAGCATTTTCTTTGTCGGTTTAGGAGAAAAGACACATTTGTAATTGCCTATTCCTTTTGTAACATATATCTAAATTAATTTTTTTTTTTTAGATTTCTGCTTTCTTTCTGCATATGTATACATATATTCAATAAAAAAATAACACATTTCACAACTATATCCTTACCTGTGGGAGTAATTACATGCAAGGAGAAATCACACATTTCAAACCCATATATTTTCAGTCCAAGGACAATCTGCCCAGTTTTAATGGGATTAGTCATATTATCCATCTCTCTTGTTTTACTCATAAAGAGTTTCAGAGTCCCAAACAATCCAAGTCCATACCACAGAACTTTGGACTTCAAATCACATGCAGAGTCAGAAGCATGGAAACTCATTAAATCTTGAGAGTTACCAGACAGGACACAGAAACACATGGTGCATAAAGCACTTCTACAAAATCACTAGCTATCAGTAAATATAAACCCATGTTTACCTTCTCTCTCATTCCTTCCCTTCCCTAGGCCTGCCCCCTGCCCCCGATTCCAAATCAGCCAATGTCCAAAACCAGATGAATTAAATACATGAAAAAGAATTACAAGGAAGGAAGCAAAGGAAGAGGGGCGGGGGGGGGGGACAGGGAGGGGGAAAAACATTCCAGAAGTTCACTTACTGTTCCAACACACTGACCGCTTCACAGTCAGCATCTAAATCTATGGCATAAAGCTCCCACTCATGTCTGAGAAAATGAATTTATTAAGCAATGCAGAGACGTGAAAGCCAAGACGAAGCTGAGGAAGGCCACCAGGCTTTGTACTGTCTTTCACCGTCATTTACCCAAGAAGGGCAGCAAAAAGGAATCCTAGCTGCTTGGCCTGGATGAATTTTTATTGTTGTTGCTCTTCTAAGGCTTTCATCTGGACAAGTCTGATGAAAACTAGTACACCTTCTACACAGACGGCCTCATTTAAGCACGAGGCAAGTTATTCACACAACAAACGTTGAAACAGCTTGGAAATTGATTTTATTTTTACCTGAGACTGTTGAGATCGAGATCATCTGTATCAAAGTCCAGAAGAGGCTGCGGGGTATCGCTTGGACCGTGAGACTGCAGCACTGAAGAACTGGATGAAATGATGGTAGTTTGGCCTGAGGGATGGATTGTTTTGAACTGGAACTGCGGGCCCATCCACAGGCGTCGATGAGGCCCGGTGTGAGTCACTATTTCGACCTGTGGAAAGATGGGGAAATGCTTAAGAAAAAACTGCAGTATATCGAGTGGTTCCTTCAATACACTGAACCCCCAGAACCCTGCTGTTCTCAAGAAAAAAAAGAGTGTTTTGTGCCATCAGTTTGGAGGAACACTGAACAAGGGAAACTTTGGAATGCCTTTGCTAGAAAGCGATGCTCTAGCCAAAGCCAAGAACTTCTTGCGGAGCCTTGAAAGCCCTTGAACCACCAGCTTGAGGACGCCGCAGCCCAGTTCTTAAACTGTTCCGAAGACTGACGCTCCATCCCGGCTATCACTTCACTTGATCCCGTTTCATTCCTCCCCTTGCCGTTATGAAATACACACTACAGCTCGAACGCTACACAGCTACCCTTGTGGTGTAACAAACAGGGGAACACGTTTCCATCTGCACGGAGCAGGCAGAGGAGCTGAAAGTCCACCTCCCCCAGCCAACCTCAATCCTGACCAGGCCAAGGGATGCACTTGTTTAAAAGCAAGCTGTCACAGCTTTGTTACGGCTGCTTTCTAAAAGTTCACACATTAAACAGCGCTGCTTCACATGTATAGAGTGCGAACTGTATTTCAAATCAAGCTCATAGTTACTGTTGGCATACGTGAGGACACCGCCGGCAGAGACCATCTTGCTGGAGAGCAGCAAGACTTGCAACAGAGAGCAGTGCGAAGTGGGCTCTGCGGCGCCGAGCAGCCCAGGTCACGCTCATTACTATGCCGATGTACCATAAACGTGTATGTGCACCACACGGAGTTTAAAACGGCAGCTACACACACACACACACAAATTCATTTAACCAAAATTCCAACAATTAAAATAGAAGGGCGTTTGCTTGCAAGGAACAACCACATATACATAAGTAGTAGGTGTATATGAGACGTATCCGTGTGTATGTTTATGGTAGATATACACACAGGCACAGAAGCTTCTCAGTTCCATGCCTACTTCCAAAAGGCACAGAGAATAGAGATGGTGTGTCTAACAAACAATAATTCCCACTATTCAGATTTTCCTCTACGTACTGGCTCCCAGTGAGAGCCTAAATATGAACTTTTGAAAAGTAAGTTATTTCCATAAATTAAGCATCCAAAATATTTTAAAAATGTCTTTTCATCCTGATTACTATAAACCTGATGAGTATCATTTCTGGCAAACTCTTAAATAAGCCAACTATAGGAACGCAAACAACCGTGAAAATTTAAGCTGGTAACATTGTTGGAAATGTATATGATCAGGAAAATTTGGCCTTGTCAATAAAAGGGTAAACGAAGCATAAGTCTTCTGTAATACAATTTTAAAAATCAAAAAGAGCCTTTAAAGATTAGAAAAAGGAAATATGAAATGAAAATATTAAGCTCTGGTGAACTCACACTTTTAAGATGACAAAAATACTGTTAAATCCCTATCAATTTCTGCTAAAACAATGATCAGCTTCACAGCAAAAATGCAATTTAGTGAGGAAATTAATGAAAATATATTTTTGTCTATGTATGACATCGATGTGTACTAGTAGCAGTTCTATGAGAAGCAATCTTAAACACTGGACAATGCTGTTCTAAGTTGTCTGCTAAAGTAAGACGACAAATGCACAGCCTATTTAGCACTATTTCCATCTTTGCATTTATCTTAGCGTAACTCAGATTGACTGTAGACATTTCTGAGGCAAGTAGCTTTTATGTAGCAGTGTAAATTAGGCCACAGATAAAGTAATCTGTATATTTTAAGCTTGAAACCATCAGTGTCACAGAGCCGAGAGGTAAACAGATGCCTTTGCAATTTTACTGAGGCTACGGCCAGATGTTCCTATTCACTCTCCTGTTGTGTGCAGGACAAACATATTGTATCTACTTCACACTGACAGCACACATTACCCACTGTTCTAATTGAAAAGTTGAAGTGAAGGGCAGTGTTTTTTCACTGCATGCTGTTACTGTTGATAACAACACTTTAATTTTGAAAAACATACTTGCACTTTAGGCTTAATCTGAAGTGGCTTGCTTAAAGAATGCTGGCTTCTTCGTGCCCAAAAGAGCTATCATCACTCTGTTCACTTAGCAAAAATTAAACATTCCGGAAGCATTCTCTGAATTATCTGTGTTTGGTGACATCACTTGGGAATTTTTTTTCTTACAAATATATTTACTATTCTAGAGGGATAGATGTGATGAAGTTCAAGCAAAGTTCCTCTGACATTTTGTACCTTCCAAGAATTAGTAATAAACCAACCCCTATAATGTAGGTTTACCTTACTCTCTTTTCCCTGAGGTTGCCCACTATACCAGAAAGTCCCCAGAACACTAAAATAAACTGAACTATCCCAACAGTACTGGAGAGGATAGGTGGAAAACTACAGGTGAAATCTTGGTCCCAATGAGCTCAGTGATAAAAGTGTTGACTACACTGACTGAGCAGTTTCACTGTCTTTATGCTCTGACAAAGTAGAGTCAGCAGAAGCAAATAAGATACATCGATGTGCAGCCACATCTGAAAACTCAGGCCAGGTAAGTGGATTCACGTGAATAGACTCCCCAATGAATGCCGCTCCCGGAGCGGTACATGTGGAAACTTCACTTGTCATTTTAGGAACATGCTGTGTATGATTTATTCACTAGTGGGAGAAGCAAATCACACCCACGAATATTTCGTATTTATGCCATACACCCCAGCAACACATTTAATGCATCACTCCCATAACAACATTGTTCTTAAACTGAAGGAAACCCACCTAGTTTGTCAGGATGAATTCCATGTATCGGGTACCCTGTAATTGCTTTGGTAAACCCAGAGCATTTGTAATTTTTATTCATTTATTTAACTCTAACCTTTTCTTTCTAACAGGAACTAATTCTCAGCGTACTATTCATGACCTACATTCTTAAACCAAAGCTATGTTTTAAGCCAAAGTCAAGTATGTACTGAATTCTTAAAGAGAAGCTTCATTGCCTGAAAAAAAACAAGAACGGATAAAACTACAAAGACTTAACCTCATATAAAAATATTCCACCAAGCAGGATCATTTTAAAGCACTACAGTATTTGTAGCTAGCTGTAACTTAAAGGAATTATCAGTAGGAAATGCAGTAACTGATAACCAGAAAAAGAAGGAAGTAAACCAGTTAATCTACCATTTTTATGTTAAAATGCAGTAAATATAGCACAGATCACAACGGAAAAGGCATCGTCATTTTGCCAAGCCAACTTCCTTTATCCACGTCTGAAAAGGGCCGTGTCAGGAGAAGAAGGGAGAGAGGTAACTTTCTGTTGCCAACTTAAACTTCCTACTTCATCCTGAACTTCCCAAGGGTGTGACTTGTGCCAGTAATGATGGGGGCTTTAAATGCTTTTTAATATCGCTTGTACAGTCTGTATAAAATGTAAAGACCATCAAATTCATACCATGTTAAGTCAGGAGTGAAGTCAGTTTTACACATAGCAATACCCACGGCCTACTGGAAGCTTACTTTCCATTTTGAGGAAAGTTGTGAATTTCACTTCCAGTGGATACTGTTACTGTTTTGCTCCTGAACTGGAACTCCCCCAAAAAGCATACCTGTGAAAGCCACTCTTCATCCTCTTGCCCGCTGTGGTCAGATGCCAAGCTGTCGTATGACTCATGGCGAGTGATCGGGCCAGGGCTCCCCGGTGGAACCACTGAAAAAAACAGAAAATCGAAAAATCAGATTTACTGTTAAACGCGTTTTAAAAAAAAAAGCTTTTTCAGTAAGTTATTGGTACAGCGACGTATATGTTTTCCTAAATCTGTGACCATAAGTTGGAGCGCAGAAAGAGCTCCAATATTAACATCAAAAGTGCTGAAAAGATTTCTGTTCTTTGACTTGAATGTATACATACTGCCAGTATGATAACCCAACTGGCTCTTCTTTTAGCCTTCAGTACTTAATGAACATACAGAACAGCCCAATACGGACAACAACTGTCCGTCTTGAGGAATTTAACACTGAGAAATGCCACCGTCAAAAATGGAAGCCTTTTCTACAAGCTTTTCAGAATTGGAACCGTGCTAAAGCATACTGGCAAAACCTATCCTGAGGCATGGGTACACCTACTGACTTCAAACAGAGTACTTCCAAAAACTTCATGAACTGAATTATCACTCTCATTTTGACATTAACATAGTTAATTTAAAGTTGGTTTTGCAAACAACTTGATTTTTAGGATTTGACTTTTTTGCAATTTAATTGTAAGTGCTTCATTATCATGTTAGTGTCACCTTTTCATTACAGTAGGAATATTAATTATGAATCCATAACAAAGCAAGGTGTGATGTTCAATTTGCTACAAAGACTAAATACTGAGATTATAACATTGGAATCTAAAATACCAGAAATTCTGTGTTCAAGTGTTGCATTGCATTATAAAAATGCTGTATAATAATTTTGGACAGATAAGAAAAACACTTTTTTCAGCTGCAGGTGACACTGATAACTAGAAAGATATATTCGTTCAAGCTGAGGGACAAATTGGTCAGCAGCTCTGAAACACAGCAGTCCAGACACAACCTCCAAGAAGCCCATAACCTCCAAACTCCCGGCCGCTGGAGCATCTGCTTCCAGTCACTACCAGAGATCTGAGGCTGGGTAAATTTTTGCTTTGACTCAACATCAGATCTGTCCACAGCGCTCATCAGCAAACCTCTTCTTGACAGCACCATGAAAATCCTACATTACTATAACTGCTTAAATACCTAAGTCTCTACTGTTTTCAAAAGACTGGTACAAACAAATAACCTCAATTCACAGAGCAAAACTAAGTTAATTTTGTTCCTCTATTCACTATTCTCATTTGTCTTCATATGGACTCACTGCAAGAAAAAAATGCAAGTTCTTCAGCTCTGCAGACTGCATGATATCCAAAACCACTTTTAAAACGATTACCATATATGCATACAACTTTGGGGAAAATCACAACTTAGTGTTCAAACGCTACCACAAAAAAGAGAGAGAATTGTACCCTTATTATTATAAAGATTAATATTTCACTATTCCTGGTCCTTGAGTCATTTAACTATGGTAGCAAAGCTTACAGTTTAGCTACCTTACTTTCTACGGCAATAGCATTACGTCGCTCTAACTAAAACTTCACACTTGAGAAAGCTGAAAGAGTTTAGAGAAAGCAAAACGCAAGCAAGCACCGCAGACAATAAGACAGGTGGTATTTTTCATTTTCTTGTACCTGTTTACTGTCAGGGGCCCGTTGGAGGCCTGGATTCAATACCAAGAAACCATACGCGCTTTGAGGGAAGAGCAGGCACCGCAAAAGCAAATTAAAAGAAGCAAATGCAACGATGGTGTTTTTTTCTTTGGTAAAACAAGAGTTTTATGCTACAGCGTTAAGATACCCTACAATCCTAAAATTAGAACCAATATTTTTATATTCACATAATCTAAAAATGACTCAGTTTTTAAAATTGATTTTTAAAAACTATATTATTACTTGGTTGACCTTTATGTGTCAAGTTTCCATCCACTACAAATTTTTACAGCCATGTTGTAAACCCCTAATAATAGGAGTTTATAATGGCAAAGCAGACACAATTGTAACCATAAATACAGAACGGCGCCTCTCTAATATAAACAGCACAGGGTTTTCATAAATCCATACACTATATGAAATACAGGGATTTTCATCCTGTTTGTGTAAGTGGGTATCTGAACCCAACCTCAGCTATGGAGCCGCTTCTAACGCCTCTGCGTCGCTGCGTGTCCTTATTCTGAAACGTGCAGCATACCAAATCCAGGTCAGGGCCTAACTTATTAAAGAATTATTTAAAGTGCTATATACATCAGGACATACTCTTACCAAGCGTCAAGTTTTTCCCACGAGATACTATGCATCTGCCATACTCATTGCAACCAATACACTCTGCGCCCGCACGTACGTGTACGTACGCACCCCAGCAACCGCAGGCGTTATTTCAGAATTGTGCGTTCATCAGTTTCCAAGATAATATAGAAACTGCATTCATCCGCTTCATTACAACCGTGACAGATCTAATTCGATGACTTACGGATGTGACTGCCTAGCCCATATCAAGCTCGTATTAAGAAAATACACATACCTTCCTGGATTACAAACAGCTGACGAGTCCCAGGAACTATCTGAATATGATACCATAATGCCCACACTTCTTCCTTACCGGTAAAGTTTATATTTGAAACCGATAAAAGAAAACCATTATTTTGACACGTTTTGCTGTTGCCCTAATCTTCCCCATATCTCCTGACTCTCCTACAATAAATTCTACTGACTGCAGTACTGCCTGTTTCTGAGGGCACAGCTGATCAACTGCAGGCTTTCCTGTTATTGAACTCCGCTAACAAACTCTTCATGACTCTAGCAGATGTTTTTGCTTTCAAACCAACGGGAACTTTATGGACTGTTCTGAATTTTTTTTGTTCTTTCTATCCCAGGGGCAACTACTAGAGCTGTCAAGATTAGGGAAGCTGCTATTCAGTGACTAGCTGCAAAAACGCTAGCCCAGGGAGGGAGCAGCATCCACCCTGCTCTGTCAGCGTGTTTCTCCCTCGCGTAATACTCTTACATGTTACTGGAGATTCAAGACGGCTTTACAAGTGAAAAAGAAATGCAAATTTAGGAAGAGTTTTGGTCCTACGCTGTAAGCTTTTTCCCGAGGAATCACAGCTTTGCATAGGTCTTGCAGTAACACACATCTCAGTGCAGCTTCAGACCGCAGCATTAACTCTTTCGACCAAAAAGTGACGACATGCTGAATTCCACGAAAAAGCTCTGCCTTAGAGTTCACCAGCAGGGCAACAGTGATAAAAGCCTCAGCTGAGGTCAAACCTCAGTAATTTATTTTGCTATTTAATAAAATAGCATTTATGTACCACACCTATCACAAAAGCAGGCATTTAAGAGAGTCTGGTTTTGATAGCAGGATCCCGTAATGATGGTCCCAGCCTTACCACAGGCAAAGCAAGCTCTACTCCCACTGCCCTTAGTGGGAGCATGCAGTGTTTTGTGAGATATGACCTTATAAGACAAGTGATCCTTGCTGGAGATTTGCCATCGCTGTACTGCTTATTACAGATATACATATGGTCGGTTTTTTCAAGTTAAAAATGGCCTTGAAGTTATAGGAACAAATAAGTCCTAAAAAACGTAAGACCGATTCTTTCTTCGTTTCTGGGTCACACACCTCTTGCATTGGTATCAGGTTCCATGATGAGATTAATTTAAGTCCAGAGGGACATTTCCAGGAATTTGAGCTCAAAAGTAACCTTTTATCTTCCAGCTTAATGCTCTGAAAATCTGAAATCACACTGGAAATTATGGCAGCCTCTTACACATCCCTGAAGCTACTCTTATGCTATAACACAGAGGTTTTTCAATTTCCAGAGAATTTCACTATAATGCAGCAGAGCAAATAATAAAATTCAAATTCTTCAAAAGCTTTGCAGCAAGCAATGTTTTTTGTTGCACTCCAGTAATTTCTCCTTCATTGGGAAAAAGTCACAAATGGCACACACACAGACAAGGAGCAAGCAAGCCTGTGTTGCACAGAGGTATTTTACTGGCAATTGCAGGTGTTTTGTACCTTCCTAAAATAATAAATTCAATGCTTTGTGTCTGAGCTATGCCAATTTTTAACTTTTTGCTATTCTTACACCAACATCTGGAACAAACATCTATCAAATATCAGAATGCAACTGAGTTTGTTTAATCTAGAAATACACAAACATGCAGAAATTTGTACAATTACCCGTGGAGTGGAAAAGAACAAAGAAAATGAGTGTTTATTAAAAATCCAACGGGAGAATTAGAACACTCAACTTTTGTTTCTGCAGTATAACAGGACATGAGTTTCTAAAGTCCACTTATAAATGCAAAAAACCTCCACAAGCCAGCATTCAAGGTCACTTTTTAAAAACTGAAGTGCTACCTAGAGCAAAAAATCAGAGCTTTGCCATAAGTATTTGGCAAGGGGCAAAAACCATCTTTGAGCTGCTCAAAAATAATAGTGGCACCTTTAATCTCTGTCCTCCTTCAAGTGAAAAGCGATCTGCATCAGCTCTAAGTCTGGAATATATTCCTGTCCATCTATCCTGACTAGCTCTACTGAACCACTCTACATTTAACTAAGGAAAAAGCATAATCTCGGCAAAAGCTGTTGTTTTGTTCTTTTTTCAGAACTTGAACACTGTCACCTCATTTTCTACCCTCTAAATCAGAGGTGCAGGTGCTTACCCATAATCTAAGGTAAATTTTTGAAGTTTACAGACTCCCTTCTCTGCAGATGCAGGATTAATCTTACTACTATATTGAAGAAAGATTATTAGAAGCAAGGGTCTGAAAAAAACCACATTACAAATTTAGTCATTTGTGTGATAATTGTTAGCGCTAGGAAAACTGCAGAGAAGTGCCAGTGGAGACAAAAGTTTCAACACAAGCCAAAACAAAGGCTGAAATACAGCTGAGCTGATATTCCTCTGGAACTCCAGGAACTGATTCACACAGTACAATGACTAAGTATGAAAAACACCCATTGTTTTGAAACTTCGCCACGACATTTAGTGACAAATAAAGAAAATAAACAATTTATATTAACCTCAAATAATT